TCATTTCCAAGCAAACCAATGCAATATGTCAAAAATAACCTAAGAAATCTCAAAATTAAGAAATTTTGCGCCTGAGCTGACACGGGCCGTGTCAGTCGACACAGGCACCCGTGTCAGGACCTGTTCCTGGATTCTATGTGCATTTTTGTTCTAACCAATTTGACACGGGCCGTGTCGTGTGATACGGGCACCCGTGTCAACCCCTGCCTGCCTAGTTTTTGCACGTGTCTGAACCAGTTTAGTTGACACGTGCTGTGTTGTGTGACACAAGCACCCGTGTCAAGACTTGTCCTACATTATTGTTAAGTTTTCAACCCAATTGAGCTGACACGGGTCGTGTCATTTGACACAGGAACCCGTTTCATCCCCTGGCTTTCCTTTTTGCTAAGTTATTTCTTGGATCTGCCCTATTGTATCCTTTTGAAAACGAAAGCTAACGACGTTTGAATAAAGATATTACAGTTTTAGAAAGTTTACCTCTTAAAGAAAAAACTTTAGAACACGTACAAATGTTTCTGGGTGTGAAGTGGTGATTGATCGAGCTCCTTTGGACCTTCTTAAAGTTGTTTCAATCCTCACTTTATACTGAAAGTTGTTGAATCACTCCAACCAAGTCAAGTTGCAAAGTACCTTTTTGTGTTTGGGAGATGGTGATAATGATGTTACATAAGTTGCTCTTGTGTTTGAACAACTTCTATATGATGTATGTGAAGTATTTGGATGGTTTGTTTGGGCAAAACTTGCAAGGTGTGAGAGGTCTAAAGATTTGGACTTCAAAGCTCAAAATGGAGGTTTTTATGGACAGTTCTGGTTTTTTGAGAGTATATGATTTTTGAGGGCTTGCTCATCTCATTTTGTCTGACAAATGGTCTCTCTATTTATTGGCAAGATATTTTAAGACAGGGGTCGATCAGATTTTCAAAATCATATGTTATGGCTAAGTTGGGTTGTAAGTGATAGTTCATGACTTTTCATAGTTCCAATGTGAGCATGGCCTATTTTTAGGAGTGCTTTGTAGGTTTTAGATGCTTCCTTATTGCTTTGACATTGTGTATGTGCAGAAGAAATTATTGAGATGCTCAAGAAGTTGACATTGTGATTAAAGCATGCTTTTCAAGAATGACAATGTTAACTTTGTGCTAAATATGGAAAGATCACTTGGACAATGCTTAAATCAAATGGACCATAGCTCAAAAGTTTGTGTAAGCATTAAATTATGGTGATATTTTCAAGTTATAAGGCCTGCAACACAAGATTATGCAGCATAACATGTAGATTGGATTATGTGTTCTTCACAAAAATGAATTGTAATTCAAGAATGGATGCCCAACTTCATGCCTTTGAATATCCTAGCTTAAGTATGATAAATTCATGCTCTTGGATGTTTTGGAAATCTTGAAACATTGTCTACAACTTTCATGTTGACCACTTTGGCTAGATCAACTTGGAACTTGATGAAAATTGGCCAAGAAGTTGGGACAAAAACCTGACCAAATCTGTTGAAAATTTCTCTAAGTGTTTATACAAAAATGTCATGACTTCATGAGCCTGTATATTCAAATATAAGAATTTTTTGGACATCAATCCACTAATACAAAGTTGTAGAATTCATCAATATCTACAACTTTCACGTTGAAGGTTTTCTTTGAATCATCTTCCATCTTGGTGAAAAATTGTCATGAAGTAATGAAATTATCAAGGTTGAAGACACTTAGAAATTTTCTAAGTATTAAAAATCTTGACTTTTTGTTGACTTTCTTGATTCTTGTTGATCACGTTTGATATTTTTGTAGATATTGATGAATTTTGATCTTTGAATTTTAATGTTGACCAAAAAGCCAAAGTTTGACTTTTTATGTATCAGATGACTTTTTGTTAGTTGATCCAAATTTCAAATATCAAACCTTTGATCCTGAGAAGTGATTCGATCCAAGAAATTAGGTTAAGATGTTGCGTTTGAGTCCTTGATATTACGTTTCAAGCCATTAAGTCATGTATTAGGTCAAAAGTTAGTGATCGATCATTCTCTGTCCAAACCCTAATTTGGAGGCTCAGTTCTTTAGGGGTGAGCTTGTTTGATAAAAATCTTGAAAATTCTTGAGCATTTGAGATCTTTTGTGAGAAATGTCTTGATAAAAGAAAGGGAAAACTTTGGGGTACAACAACTGCCCCTATTCAATCTTCTTAAACCTGAAGAGTTAGATTGGCTTGTTCTCCATTCGTTACTTGAAGGTAAAAGATGATTGAACACTTAAGTGCCCAGAAAGTTTCACTCGCTGGTGCACAAAGTAATGCTGTTGGTTAATTTTGTCGGGAATGGGCTTAAAGATGCTATTTGGAGAGGTAATGAAAAGTTTTCGAAGATGGGCTTATAGATGCCATCCATAACGACTATTGGCAAGTCTAGTGCTTGACTTGATCTTTAAGAGATGTATCTGGAAAAAAGCCTTCACGCCACTACTACTTTGAAAGGTAGTGAAGGAATCTATGACGACTAATACTTCAACTGGTAATGAAGGAATTTATGACGATTACTACTTTAACAGGTATTGAAGGAATCTAGGACGACTACTACTTCAACGGGTAATGAAGGAATCTATGACGAGTACTACTTCGGCAGGTAATGAAGGAATATATGATGACTACTAATGAAGGAATCTATGAGACTACTACTTCAATAGGTAATGAAGGAATCTATGACGACTACTACTTCAACAAGTAATGAAGGAATCTCTGACGACTACTACTTCAACAGGTAATGAAGGAATCTGTGACGACTACTACTTCAATAGGTAATGAAGGAATCTGTGACGACTACTACTTCAACATGTAATGAAGGAATCTGTGACAACTACTACTTCAACAAGTAATGTAGGAATCTGTGATGACTATTACTTCAACAAGTATTGAAAGAATCTGTGACAACTACTACTTCAACAGGTAATGAAGGAATCTATGACGACTACTACTTCAACATGTAATGAAGGAATATATAACGAATACTACTTCAACATGTAATGAAGGAATCTATGATGAATACTACTTCAGTAGGTAATGAAGGAATCTGTGACAACTATTACTTCAACAGGTACCGAAAGCAATCCAAGCTTGATTTCATTTCAGAGAGATATTCTTCAAAATGACTCCCTGGGAATGGTCTTCGAGGAAAATACTTGTAAGATTTTAGTCTCTACAGAAATTTGTCTGGTTATGTATATAGTTGATGATATTGGTTTGTTGATTAATCTTTCTTGAAAAGGTAAAGAGTTTGTTGTATGTAGTGTCATGATGTATGAAATACATTGCGTGATGATGTTCTCAAAATGCTATGATGTATGAATGTGAAATGTATCTTTGTCTGGGAAAATAAATCCCTAACTACTGTTGTAGATGAAGAGTATGTGTATCTTTAATTTCATTTTGAATGCTTCCGCTGTGGATTCCTGTTTTCTTTTTTAGGAAACTCTGCAAGGATGTTGATTTTTGCTTGGGGAGTAGAGTTCAGGAACCTTAGTCGTTTGTTTCTCTACTGGGGAATTTAATTCTTATATACCCTGACTGGGGATAAAAGAGATGATTAAACTTCTGATTTGTATGGGGAGAGTAAAGTTAACTGATATCCTGATTGAATTCCAGGTTTTACAGCAACTCTCTAGGGATAGTATAAACTCTGGAGAAGAGGAGTTATGTCAGTGATGTGTCTGAGGAATGGACTCAAGTTGGGTAGATTGTATCCTATTGGGGAAATAAACCCTGTTGAGGAAGATATTCTGGAGATTTCACTAGGGAAAAAACTTTGCATGGTTTCTCTTTCAGTTTTGGAAGACCGAACTCGGCTGGGGAGATCGAAGTCGTTATCTCAATTCTAATTGAGTGACATCATCGAATGTCACCCGTGAAAACAAGCACAAACACAATTAGCAAACAAGTGCAGAATGTCTGCTATAGGTCTTTAAACAGCAACTTTGAGCGCACTCTCTTTATTTCCTACTTATCATGATATCTAGAAAGCAATAAAATGCAGAAAGATAAATTAGAAGCAACATAATACAAAACAAACAATAATATCCGTGAAAAGTGCAACCAAAGCAAATAAACCCTGAGTACTTCACGCGAGCTGGCATCAAAAAACTAACAGTCAGAGATCGAATATTCAGAATAGGTGTTAAAGCATCATCGATGTGAAAATAAATCACAATTGGAAATTCAAACATGTCTGCATATCAAACAATGAACCTGCAAAAGACTCAACTCAACAAGCAAAGGTGAATTAGAAAGTCTCAAGTAATCGAAAGATTATGAATTAATTTCCTAAAATAAAATAAAGAGATCTAACAAATTTTATTAATTTTGTAGTTTTTTATTAAAAAAATTAAGAGGAAGTCCTAAATTCTACATATTTTTTATTGTTTATTATATGTATATATTTTTATAATTTTTTTTATTAAGAAAATTGAAAGGAATTTAAACTAAAAGCGAAGCTAAAAAAAACAAGAAATTAGAAAAAATCATGGGGTACAATCTAGAATCATGCAGTTTGAAAAACCAAATAAGGCGTAGGGCCTAGCCCGCAGAGCTAGGTCCATAAGTTGTTTTTTTTCTTATAAGGCTTGATGTATCAAAAAAATGATAACGGGCTCAGGGAGGCTTCAATTTCGGTCCAACCATCAACACAATGATCCAATTCTCTTATTTTGTTCAATCATTTCAAGCTCACCAAACCAAAAAGAATGGGTCAAAACGCCGGATTTTGTACAACAAGGCCCAGCAAATTTCTCCAAATTCCAACAGATTTATTATCACCTTTTTATTAATAAAAAAAAATATTAAACAAAAAATATTAAAAAAAATGATTGGAACGATGCGTTTTATGTATAACGCTAGGGTTAAAAAAAGTGATATTTCATCTTCGCAGATTCAACTCTTTCTTCTCTCGTCATCCGCGACCATTCTCTCTTCACCCCTCACCATCGTAACCTCATCATCTCACAACTCCTCCGATGTCTCCGATTATTTTTGATGTCGTCCTCACCATCCTTCTTCTTAGACTCATCACCGCTATATACTGCCAACCATCACCTTCATCGCGATTTCCAATTGATCACGAACCTCCACCTCCGATCTCCCGTTCCCGATTCACTCCATTCCTCAATCACACTCATCTTCTCGAACTCGAAATGAACTATAAAGCACCACACGTCTACGGAAAGGGAGATTGAAGTAATTCTAAATCAGAAAGAGAGAACTCAAGCCTTACCTGTCGGAGTCGCTCCAACGGCTTTTTGATCGTGTCGGTGTCGCATGGAAATCAAAGGTAATAATACGCTTCTAGAAATCTCCTCTCATCTATCTCCTTTCTTCTTCTTCTTTCTGAGTTTCAGATCTTTGATTTGTGTTGATGCGTGCGTTTTTCTTTGCGATTTTGGAGTGATACGTTTTTGTTGTTACAACCTTGATGATGTGAAGAATCGGTGTAGAATCATGAGGTTTGCAGTGATATTGAATAATGAATATGAAATTTATGTTGCAGATGATAATGAAAGAAGGCGCGATGAAATGCATAATCTGTTATCGAGAGAGAACTGCAAGGTTTGGTGCGTGAGGGTGACGAGGAGAAAAATGATGGAGAATTGCGAGGGAAGTTCATAAAGATCAAGATAGAGCGAGGTTGAAGATGAAAATGAGTATTCTTAAGATATAACTGCAGAGAGATTCAGAGGTGAGTATTCTGTGAAATTTTTCTGTTTTTTTGCATCATGAATCCCCCTCTCTCATTCTGTTATGATTCTGTTATAGCCGGTTTTCTCAATCTGTGAGAGTTAGTTAGAGATTAGAATCAATCTCATCCTTTGATTGAGAAATCGATTAGACAAATATATGGTTGGGATTTTTTATGTTATGACAACTATAGGGCTAAAAATTATGTTGTGACAGTTATCAACCCAGTTGGAAAATCAGTCGCACTTGTTATAACTCTTTCTGATTTTATTTTTGAATTTCACTTTCCCTCCCTGATTTTTATTTATCTCAGTTTGGCTCTGAATTTTCCCATTAACTCTTGCTCTCAAAGTCTATGAATTATTTGACGATCCATTTTATTTCCCTGATTTTTGGTTGAACTAGTTCATTGAGTTTTTTTTCGTATCTTCTTCTGATCTTTTTTCGGCATCTTCTGAACTGTGCTCTTGATCTAACCTTATCATTAATTGGTAATGTTAGCTTTTTGATATCCAGAGTTGTTTTGTAGGAATTTTTGTCTTAAATCAAGAGGTTTGGACAACAAGTACTTATGCTTTTTTTAATGTATTGAATATTGATTCTTTTACTTGAATGATGCATTCTGTATTGTTTTGAGATAATAATGCATGCTGGTATCTGATATGTGCAGGTTTTGAATATATTGCAGTGTTTTGAAATGGGGTAAGGCTAAACATTTTGCGTCAGGATTGGTTTGCAATGCAGTGCAGGGCTATTTTGCACAGTATTCGAGATCTGGCTTGTTATGACTAAAGTTTGATTAAATCGTTAGGATGTTTTTTCTGAATTGGATCAATATGGTATGTGTTGTACCCCAAAATTTGCCCTCTCATATTTTCCCAAGATTTTTCTCTTAGGTGTTTAGAAACACTTGATTAAAGAAAAATAATTTTTTTTAAAGATAAGCAAGGTCTTTCGATTGGCATGAACAAGGTGTCTTTCGATTGATATTTTGACAGGCTTCGATTGAGCGCCAAACCTCTTCCAAGCTTGCCTCAAATTTCCAAGCTTCGATTGAAGCCTTGGTATTTTGCTTGTTTGTTGCACACCAGCTTCGACTGGGCATGTTTTCCCTTTGAAACAACCCCCTTCGATCCAAAGAGGAAGGGCTTCTTGTTAGTGCTCCTTCGATTGCACCATTTTCTTTGCATGCTGGCTTGACTCACAAATGTAATGGCTGCCTGCATGCAAGTTGGATCCCTACTTCGACTGGGAATTTGTTTTCCTTGGAGCAAGCATGTTTCCTGCTTCTACTAGGAAAATTATCCCTCTGGGTGTGCCTTCAGCACACAAAGCAATAACTTCTTCAAACTGGCCTTCGATCAACAAAGTTCCCACTAGGCAAAAGACCCCTCAGTGTGTCACCAGTGAATTTATGCCTCTTCAGCTTGCCTTCAGCACACAAGGCCAAGACTCCTTCAGGGTTGCCTTTGATCCACCAAGAAAAAAGCTTCTTTTGATGCGCCAGGAAAAAAAGTTGCATTCGACCACAAGGCACTGGCCACCTTTGTGCCAACTTCGCCTAGGCAATGGCCTAATTTACGCCTGCCTTGACTTGCTTCATGCTAGAATGCACAAGGCACAGACTGCCTTTGTGCCAGTTTCGACTGGGCGCTGACCCCCCTTTGAAACAATTGTACACACTTTAACACACCAAAGGCCCATTCGAATGGTACACCAAAAGGACCATCTAAAGACCTATTCTAAGGAAGTAATACTAGAGCCAGTCGAAGGGTACACAAGAAGTACATTTGAAGAAGCATTCGAAAGGCCCAATCGATGGCTACACAAGAGGTCTAGTCGAAAGAGGCAACTTGAGGCCAGTCGAAGAGCTACACTAGAGGGCATTCAAAGGATCCAAAGCATGTTCAGGTTCATTCAAATTCAAAAAAGGACAAGTTTCCATGACTTTTGCAACATTACAAAACATCACTCATGGCTTTGAAAACATTTGTTTATGGCTGTTTAAGTCTTTGTTCTCTTGTCCCCTCCATCCTCTCTATATAAAGAAGACACCAGCAAACTCCAAAGGGGGTTGAAGAGAACCAGGAAGAGGCTAGACACAACAGGAGGGAGAATTACACGAAACCAAAAACATATCCTTGGAGGATTTTCTTGAAAATTTTCCAATCATCCCCAGCCCTTAAGCAAGTGTCTCCACATCCAGAAAGTGCCAAATCGAAGGTTCCAGCTATTTGTAAGAGAGGGTAAAAGATCAAACTTTGTATTTGCATGACACATCAATACTTGTAGTCATTCGATTTGTAATCAAAATTAAGGACCTGGGTCCGACACCCAGGTCTACATTTGTTTTGTTGGTAACACTTGCTGCAGATGTAGCCTGAATAGACCCAACGCATGCAGTATCGAAAGACCTGGGTTGGGCACCCATGTTTTGCTTTTCGTTTTGCTAACATATTTGCAGATGTAGTGCCCTCAAAAGTGATCCATCAGGAAATTCCAGCAGTGCCCTCTAGATCGAAATCCATATAATGTCACTGGATCAAAGGGCAATCGAAAGACAACGTTTCCTTCATAGAATTGAAAGACACCATCTCCCTGTAATCGAAGGATGCATCTTGTTCTATTTTTATTTTTGTTTTCATTTCTTTATTGACCCTCTTTTATTTAAATTGACCTTGAATCAAAAATCACAAAAAAATATATTAGGCTAGTTATTTTTCTAATTAAATTAACTTTGTAAATAAATAAATAAATTATTCTAACATTTTTTCTTTAAATTAAAATTAAATAGACTTAGATTGTATTTTCTTAAGATAAAACAAAACAAAACAAAAAGATTTTTCACCTTAGGATTTTTAAGACATCTTTTCTACTTCGTGCGTATTTACTTATTTTCATATTTTTTTCTCCATATTATTGTATCTGTCTACTGGATGTAATAGATTAAAATTAGGATATTTACTGCTTTATCCCCCTCATTCTTGTACAGTGTAAATCCCCTCCCCAAAGCATTGTGTGATCGGTGGGAATGAGAACTGACTGTTTTGGAATGCTGGTTCGCGTTTGCGTTTGTGGTCGCAAAATGCCGCGGTAAGCAAGAGTCACCACCGTCTTTTATTTTATCCAACAAGGAAAGGACAAAAGCACAGAAAAATTCCTTTTTGATATATTTCTCGGGTTCAGGAGGTAGATTATAGAAAGGGAAGGTGTTAGCACCCTTTCTATCCGTGGTTATCCACGGGCTCTTAGGTACTTGCTCATTGTGTTTTCAAAAGTTTGCTTTTCTTTGTGTTTGTGGGTTTGAAAAGAGTTTTTGTTTGAAAGGAGTGTAAGTGCGAAAAGTTTTGTTTTGTTTTAAAAAAGAGAAAGTACTTAAGAACCATCTACCTACTCGAAAAAAGGAATTAAACTGTGCTAATGTCCTTTAGAAAATGCTATCCCACTATTGAGGAGTAGGTAGCATCGTCGTTGGAGTTTTCGGGTCAATTCGATTAAGGGACGTGTGGTCACTAAAGTAATGTTAGGACGCCTTAGTGGTAACCCTAATGTCTTAGATCATTTTTTCCGAGGCAACCGTTTCGAGGAAACTTATGATCTTTGGACAAGAGGGCGACCTCTAAAACTTCCTATACTCAATGACCACGTTTGAAGGCAACCAAGTGAGGTGTACCCTAAGAATGCGCATGTGCGAGTGTGTTAGTTCGGTTAATTTTATCTGTACATGTTATGGGTGAGCTATATTGATTTTAGGTTAAAGATTGATCTTGTCATGCATTGCCTAGTTATCAAACATCTAACAGTTAATATTGTGCGGAAATTAAATTGCGGGAAATTAAACCTAAACTATTACAAGGCGTCGGGTATTTACATCGCCAAAAACAAACTCTTTAATTAAAATTGCGGAAAATAAAATAAAGCGATAAATAAATAAAGTCCTAATTAAAAGCTATTACATTCCGAAAGCAATTACAATATTGGAAATAAATAGATCGCGTGCAAGAAAATTAAATCGGTGTATTTTTTAGGGTTTTGACCCTTTTTGAAAGAAAGCATGTTTTTTTGTTATTTTTAGAAATTATGGAATTAAATTAAATGAACAATTAAATTAAATTAAATAATGAAAATATTTTTGGATTTTTTAGTATTTAAAGAAATAACATAAATTAATCAAAGCTAATAAAAACATAATTATCTAAATTAATTTTAATTATTGCAAAAATATTAAAGTTATTTCCTAATTAAACTAAATTAATTGAATTAATATTTATTACAAAAATAGTGTTGAATTTAATTTTAATAAATAAAATATATTTTTTTTGTTTTTGATTTTATTAAGAAAGAGATTAATTGGTTAGTGATTAATAAAAAGAATAACAATTAATTAAAGGAAAATAATAAAAATAGAGAGAGAGAGAGTTTAGGAGTATACAGGCCTGATTGGAGGGGTGAAACAGCTGTTGGCGTCATATGTAAACTGTTTTGTTTTGGCCATTTGTGT